AACAAGAACACCTTCAGGATATCGCTTTCTCGGTTGGTTGCGCGCACAAGAATCTTCCCTTCGGTGCCCCAGACAATCTCAATAATGATACGATCATCGTCCTCGAAATCATCCGGTGCTTCGATCGAGAAAACCTCTTGCTTCTCAATATCGTAGAATTGCAAATTCACAACGGGATTGGGAGCTCCAGCCTTAGGATACTTGATTTCTCGGACCTCTGGATAATCCTCTAGTCCCGGGAGAGGCTTCTTGCCCGATGGCCGTGACAGGTAGTACTGGACGGGAAATTCAGGAACAGCCGTCTCGTTGGTACGCAAGAAAGCCACGTATTTGCCGTCGCCAGACCACCAGGTTACACTATTGCCCGAAAAGACCTCTTCCTCGTAGACCCAGTCGGGGATGCCGTAGAAAAGATCCGTACCACCGTCCTTTGTAATTGGAACAACCTCCTTCGAGGACAGCTTGCGCAAGTAGAGGTTATTGTTTCTCACAAACGCGACCATATCGGAGGTTGGCGACCAGATTGCGAGCTGCACACGTGCATCAGGATCACCTGGGTCCAATGGCTGTGCCGATTGGGTAGCAACATCGAAGATCCAATATTTTCCGGTGAAAGAATGTCTCCAATTCTTCTCGCGTTCAGACAAAAGCAGCACCTTGTTTAGGTCCGGGCTGGGCCACGTTGAGACCGGGAAGATCGTTCGTCCATCCACTTGCACAACTGCCTTTTCCATCAACACCCTGCTTTCCTGGGCAGTCGTATCGCTTTTGCGACTGCGAATGTCGTCGACCCGCAAATATCCCTTGCCCTGATCCTCTCCTTGCTCCACCAGAAGACCATCCTCGCCATTAGGGCCCGCGATCCAGGAAACGGCGTGGGACCGAGGATACCACTGTCCCGTAAGCACCTGCTCCAGCGTAACCGGTTTCCCAGAACTCGAACTCCCGGAGATTGCGCCTGCCTCGTGCGATTGCAGCGCTTCAGAGACTGATTGCTGGGCTGAGCGACTTTGAGTCACGAACAACACCAGGCCCCAAAGCCAACCTGCGACGCAGAGTATCACTAGGCCCCAAATCAGACGAGACGTACGGCTCCCAGAGGCAGCTGGCTTCTTTGACGAAGGGAGGAACGGCTCATCTGCTCCTACTTCTCCCTCTTCCACATCTCGGTATCTATTCTCATCGGATAGTCCATCGGTACCGGGGGCGGTTGAAGTGTACTTGGATTCTTCGGGGTAGGCGGTGGTATCGACGGAGAGGCCCGAATCGGAGGATGTCGAGGCGGTGGAGGGCCGTGGACGGCTCATGGGGAGGAATTCGTTGTTGTCATCCTCTTGATATTTCCCCATTATGGGAGACGATCCTTTAGAAGGAAAGATTGGTGACTCTGTGTCACATAAGATCACGAGGGGAGCGGTGGAAGGGAGTCACTGGCAGCTCCGGTAGATAAGAGCCGAGGGATCGTTATCGTCGGCTCGGGGGATCGGCGGTGATGGGGGCGATGAGGAGTGCGAAAGGTGGTGAACACGTTCGTGCACCGGATCGTGCTTTCTAGAGAACGAATGCAGTCATGGACTCGAAAACAAGGCAGAAGAGATGTCAAGAAGGTTGGGTTTCCGACGCGACTGCCGGGGAGTTGAGGCGATCAGCAAGTGAAACGGGAGGCGCAGCAGATCTACGGGGGTGTTTGTCGCCTGAGGCCACCCACGGTGTTATTCAGGCCGGGCTTCTATTGACGGCCTTTTCGGGATGCCCTACAACATACTACTCCTATCATTATTACTGGTTGGTCATGCAGCCAATGGAGATGGGCACTAGGAATAAAGCTTATACAGGCCTCTGAAGAGTCTCTTCAGAGCACGAGCATCGTCAAACGTGTAAAGATTTATTGTAGGATTTGATGGGAAGTAGTTGATGTTGTATATACTGAGACGGCTCATAGCCATCACCGCAGACCACCTGCTCTCGAAGTCGGCCGGTGGCGTCGACCAGTTGCTCACACTGGTTGGCTAGGGCATACCAGGCATCTGCGTCGTAGACCGACTGTTCAGGAAGAATGCGATTGAGTCGTTCGACGCTGGCAATTATGCGTGCGATTTGAATGACATAAAGCATGAAAGTATAGTCGTGCCGCTCATTTTCCTGGCGGGAGCCCAAGCGAAGCCGATTATCGACTGTTTCGTAGTATTCACTGAGTGCGTAGTAGAAATGCCGGTATTGCCGAATTACTCCATTGCAGACCAAGTACAAGAACTCTCGGAGGGCTTCCTCCCTGGGGCATGCCATGCAGAGGCTCACTTGTTCGACCGGGTCGATAATCCGCTTTAGTCCGTCACAGCCGCCATACAGGCGGACAGTTTCAAGGGCCTTGTTAATGGAGGGGGTACCCCCAAGACCGTTATCCAAGGCGTCGAATAATATTGAGCAGCAGTTACATTCGGTGGGGGCGTCAGAGGAGGGGACATCGGGAGAGGTGATGTCAGAGGGGCAGGTATCAAAGTAGGACGAGGAGATGTCAGAGGAGGGTGTAGTGGTGGTGGTGGTGGTGTTAGAGGAGGTGTCAGGGGATGAGGAATTAGGGGAGGAGTTAGGGAAGGCTGATATATCAGAAAAATAGGAGGCATCAGAGTGATGATTCTTGGAGACCTTGTAGTTGCGTGCACTACGGTGCTTGCCCCAAGTTGAGATCGAGTCATTTCTAGAAATATTGCTTGTCGGAAGGCAGGTTGGATAGAGTGCAATGGGTCTGGGGAGGGAACGGCGGATTGCGCCACGCCTAGTGAGTGTGCATAGAGGATTGAGTGCCTTGTGTCGAGTGATCATGGAAGTAGTAGATAGGAAACTGTCACGTCTAGTGACTGCAGACGACATGATGTTGGTAGTCATGTGTTTGGTTGCTTAAATGAGTAGATGGATATGGTAGAGGCTAGTATATAGTATAGCGAGGCTGCTTTCCGCTAGTCTCGTAGGATGATGGCGTAATTCTGCGGGTGCTGATTTCGAGGTATTTGAAGTACTATGAGGCGCTTAAAGATGAAGTTGAGTAGTTGATCGTGAGTAATCGAGGTGTTGAAGAGGAGAAACCTGGAGGAAGGGCCCAGAACCGCGTGGGGATAGACATAGTCCAACAAAAATCTGGACCCATGGTTGTGTATGATTCCTTCTCTTGTACTTCTTGCTGCGAGCCAATACATTTTGTCTTTGTATGGTATTATGAGGTAGGCATGACCGTTATCTTATACATGCCTACCTCATGATCCCATAAATAGGTCGCTTCGTTTCTAGATATCGGACTTGACCGCGGGTAGTGTAGTGGTAATTGTAGACTAACACGGGCGATGAAGAATTTAGAAAACCTCACTAGATGACAACAACAAAGGTCATGCATGGGGCAGAGCAATTGTATGGAAGAGCCCGTTTGGGTGCCAGCGAGGGCTGCTTCGCTCATTGTGTCATCGTCAGAATTTTCAATTTTCGAGCGGTTCGTATGTTTGTCTTTCCATACGGTACATCTTCCTGAAAGGTATGACTGGAACAGGAACAATCACAAAAGAGTGTTCCTTGAGCTTGAAATAGGTACACAATAGTCAATGTGACGTTCGCTCGTTTGTTTTGAGTCAGAGGGAACACACCAATGAGCAGTTCTATACTGTATACTGTATATGGTCACCTTCTACGAACCCAGCAGACATAGTATGAGCCACCTTTTGTCACTGCTCTTAGCAAGGTAGGGCATGCAGCCATACTGTGATGATGTGTGCCTGAGGCAAACACCAATATCGCTATTTGTGGATGCGAGGATGCGAGGATGCGAGAGATTCTATGCATAATAAGGTTGAATGATGAAGCAATGGTTCAAAATAGAGACGGAAAGACAGCACAACCGATCTACAACGAATTACAAGATTGACAGATGGTGGCTCAGTCGAGGATTGTGACAGCACGAAAGCATGGGCCTAGACGATCCGAGCAGGTCAAGTGGTGTTGGAAGTGATAAGGAGGGAAAAGGGTTGCAGATCAGACGAGCTCGGACGGGGTTAGATTGGCTGGCAGTCGGTGACCAAAAAGACTAGTCTGCAGCTTGCAGGTGCCATATTAGGCAAACACCCTTCCTGCATTGATTGAAGAGATTAGGAGCTGGTAATATTCATCTAGTGGATGTGGGGTGTTTTGTTGGGAATTAAAGGAAATGATCAAATACTACGGATGGGTATAGAGAGTGAGGAATATCGGGGATCCACTACAGGGAAAGTGGACAAGAATAGCATCCAACAAGATATAGACTACTATGGAGTACTTGACTTGTACTCCGTAATGCTGTGGGATCCGCGGAATGGTCACGGCGGGGCCACAGGGCTGAGCACCAAGAGTAAGTCGTTTTACTTTGGAAGAAGAAGAGGGGATGGACAGAAACAAACTATCTACTATTAAATCAATTAATCCAATGCGTCCATTTTCGTTCTAAATTTATTTTATTTTATTTAGTTACTGGTCTTGGATGGTGTCATCACCTGCAGATTGTCACTCCCTTTTTCCTCTTCTTCTTATTATTTCTCTCCTCTCCATCTGTCTTCCCGCTGCTGTTTTCGCTCTCCGCTTTCCCCTCTCTGCTCTTCCTGCTTTCTTGCTTTGCTTCCTCCCCTCCTCTTCTTCCTCTCCTTCTCTTTACGCCCTTCTTCTCTCTCCTCCCTATCTCTCTCCCTCTATCTTCTCCGAGACTTATTGCTTGTCACCCTTCCCTGTGATCCCCCATTGATCATTCAAGCAAAGTGTAATCGTGGGGTGAGGCGCACGCCGAGCATCCACTTGGAACCAAAAACGTCATCATCATCCACAGCCCGAACCTTGGCCGCAACTAGGCAGACGGATTCTACCCTGGCTTCCCCTTCTAGAATCTTAATTTGATTCTATTCACCATCACCCCCTGTCAGCTGCAGTTAAAAAGTCAATGATTGCCCGACCAGCCAGTTAAATACCCACTGTGCTCGAGCAACTCAACCATGACTTCTGCGGACCTCTCCTCCGTTCCCAACGGAGTCCAGTCGGGCGCTGCTGCTGCTTCCCCAGCCGCTTCCAACCCCGCGCCCGGTCAGATCCTCACCGGAAAACAAGAACATTGTCAGTTTTCCCCGATCGCGTCCAGTCTAATCGCTGTAGAGTCTTCGAGGGTCTCGTTCTGACCGATGCAGATCTCAAGCGCGAACTCATCGCCCGCCAAGTGCAGAGCGAAATTTCCGAGCTGAATTCGCCAACCGCCCTCCGACGCTTCGGTGCCCCCTTCAAATCCGAATTCGGCGAAGTCGCGCCCGTCGACTCGGAGCTTCCCATCCTACGATATATCTTCGTCCACCATGTGCGCAATTTCCCCTTCCTCGATCAAGCTCGCGAGAAGGAGTTCTGGCAGGATAAGTTACAAGTGGTGCGTGTGTCCCCGACCCAACCCGTTTTGCGCATCTCGTAATGGAGGATTAATCGCCGGCCCATAGTTCCTCGAATCGTTCGCGACGAAGCATGTATCCTCCTCCGAAGACCGTCTGGAAGAGACCAAGCGCCGGAAGTTGGCCCGGAAGTGCGAGAAATTGGTCGAGCTGATGATGGTCTCTGGTATCCCCACGGCGTCGGGCTACGAGGAGCGCATCCAGTTCTCGGAGATGGAGGTGGTAGACCGAGGGGCTAATGAAAAGGGGCTGTTGGTCAATATGCCGGAGGGTCATGCCATCCATGGCTGGGACGTCAACGTGGCTGCCGTACGCGTGACCTCGGTTAGGAGGACGGTGCGATACCACCAGCATGCGGTAAGCGTCTACGTGATTGTGTGATTGGACCTTACCACTGATGCACAACTTAGGAGTTTATCCTTCGAGTGCGCCGCGACGGAAAGCCAGATCTCTTCGTGGCTCGACGATATGGCGATTTCGCCAAGTTTCACAAGCGACTACGCACGGAATTCCCAGGGAAGCCACTCCCACCCCTTCCCCGCAAGAACAAATCTTCCACGACAACGAGCTGGTTCGGATCGGCAGACGATGAAGCATCCTCAGTGTCGTCCGTTTCAACAGTGGGAGTCGCTGTGGTCGATGACGGCACATCCTCTCGTAACTTGGCCCCCGGAAACCACCATCAGCGGTCGTTGTCGCGGTCATCCAGGCGTTCCGTAAGATCTCCCCGAGCTTCCAGCGACGGGTCGAGGGAGACGGTACTTTACCGCGAAGAGCAGAGAGTTTCTCTTCGAGCGTTCCTTCGTACCTTGCTGCAAAACAAGCGTATAGCTGAGACAAAGGCCATGGAAGAGTTCCTCACAGCGGATCCCATCATTTTGAATGAGGAGGAGGTGCTGGACATGCAGAAGCGCAAAGATGTCGATGCGGTGCGCATAGAGGAGCAGAAGCGGTTTTACGAGATCGCCAGGGCGCGTGCAGCCGAATTGGACGTCTACATGGAGAACTTCCGCCGCGACATTGTGGAGAGCAGTAAGTCTTTGCTGATATCCCGATCGATGGTTATTCCGCTGACAATGGCATCGCAATCTAGACGGTTTGACAAAACTGTTCGCTGAAATCAAGGAAAAGCCCACGGTGCAGGATCTGAGTCCCAAGTATCAGAAATTTGCAGAGTGGCTCCGCATAGAGTACGTGTTTAATGGATTATCGTTGCTCTGTATTCAGACTAATCAAACGCCAGGGTTGCTGCAACACTTTACCACCTTTTCCTGGCCGAGGATAATTCTCCTGAGCTGTTCGCGCAAGCTAAGCGAATTCATTCGCTTGTCCCGTACACTTTGTTGAAGAATGTTATTCGTATTGCCAACCCCGCGGCCGTCATGGCAGGAGTGCTGGACCTGTTCTTGGCCCAACCCTTCGGCTCTCGATCCCTGCTCCAGCGGATCTTCTCCATGACCCTCAACGATGGCATCAAGGCCTTCCAGAAATCGATTGATGCGTTGGCTGCCAAGGTCGATGATCCCATTCTTTGCCAAAAGTTGAAAGCCTTCACCGATGCCGACGAAGAGGTCAAGAACGAGATTCGTGCCGAAGCTGCCGCCGAGGATGTTGACATTATCGTGGCCATCCTTCGTAGCGAGTATCTGCAACCCGAGCTGGCTCCAGAGCAATTCGGCAAGGTGTTCAATGGATATGTAGCATGGAACCAAGCCGTGGACAATGTTGAGGTGGAGATGCGCGAGGGGGCGCACTGGTTTGCGAACTTGAAGCAGCTTCTGAAGCTGTACACTCGTCAAAGGGACAAGGCTATGATGTTGAGCATCGTAGAAGAGCCAACTACTCTTCAGCTGTTCCGCGACCTCTTCACCATCTTCTACGAACCCCTGGTGCGCGTCTACAAGTCTGCCAACGTCTACAGCAGCATCACCGATTTTGCACATTTCGCCGACGATGCGATTGCGGTGATTGAGAAGTGTCAGCGGCAAGATGTGTCGGCAGATCCGAACCAGACCGTACAAGCCTTTATCGACCTGTGCGAGCGCCATCAAAGTAGCTTCTACAAATTCGTTCACGAAGTTCACCTGCACGACAATGGCCTGTTCAGTTCCCTCATGGCGTGGATCGAGGAGATCCTCGAATTCCTGCGCAAGGGGCCGCGCGGAGGTGCGCTCGATATGAACGCCTTGCTTCGAGGAGCCACAGATTTCGTGCAGATTGACAAGGACAAGGCCCTGGAAGAGATCAATGCCCTGATCAAGTGGCATGAAGACCGAAAGCGGTGGCACTTGAACAAGACGCGGCAGAAGATGGCCGCTGAGGGCACGGCACATGACGGATACTTGGGTAACGCGTCATTCCGAGGCAGCGACTTTGGCCTCGACGAGGTATGTGTTCATGACTATCACTGATGCAGTTGTGTAGCTGTGTGCTAACAAGTGAATGCAGGCCGACCTGGAAGATCTTGCCATCTCGGACGCCGAGTCGGAAGCATCCGAAGATCTGGACGACGAAGAGGACCTGGACCCGATCTCGGCGGAGCGCAGGCGCCGGGTGAAGCAGCAGGACCAACTTCGGCGCACGGCGGGCGAGCCGGTCAAGCCGGACATAAGCGAAATTCTCAAGTTGTCCGAGTCATTTGGCGTTATGTTGCGACAGGTACTTGCGGAATAGGTGTGGTTGCATTGTTAAGATACCCTAGAGTCTATACAGGCCTTGTATACATCGTTGATTCTGGTTGTTGGAGGTTGAGATTTTGCATGGGATTGCTGGATGGGCTAGAGAGGGACATGATCTGATCTGTTCGGGGCATTGAAACTGTTGTATACACCTAATATCTTTAGTTTAGAGCGAACCAAGACAGATTGCTTGGCCTTTTCTAGAAGTATGTGAAAATGTGAAATGCGGACCACTTTTCGCGGTGGAAAGTCGATCTTCCGCTGTCATGTCTCCGTGTCGAGACCCACAGTTTCCATGGCGACAACCAGTCTATCCCTCGATCTATCCTCCATCTTTCTTCTCGAATCTGCAGAAGTGCCTCTCAACATGTTCTAGTCACTTTTAAGCTTATCTTTAATCATCTTTATTACTATATCATGCTCTCTCCCATGAAATCCTTCGGCAACAGTCCATCGCCTCATTCGCCTCGCACAGCGGTTCCTCTGCGGGGTCTCTTCCTCGATGGCGTTTGGCGCTGCAACTGTCCAGAGCGTCCCCCAGCCGTGAAATTCCAAACCAAGAACCACGGTGTGAACCATGGACGATGGTGTACGCAATTAATCCCTTTTTATTATCTACCAAAGTTACCTCAAAAGCCAATGCCACTTCCGAATCCCTAGCTAACCACTGAACCCCGCACCCCACCCTTCACAGTCTACGTCTGCCAAAAACCCCAAGAGAAACGCTGTCGCTTCTTTCTCTGGGCCAGCGACGCCGAAGTCCGCGAGAAGCACGCCGTCTTGACGAACTCTCGCACTGAACCTGCCGCGGATTCCTCCCTCCTTCTCTACTACCACCACTGCCACGATTTCCGCCCCCGAGACACCTTCCAAGAAACCACGCCTATCCGAAGCGGGTCTTCTAACCCCGCAAACTGATCGTACGGTAAGATTCGGAGGTATGGACTTGGACAATAGTGGAGCCAGAGGGAAAGGAGGACGGTTGAGTGCGACTATGCCCCCGCAAAGCGCCAAAGCGCGCATGATGGCTGAAGACCTTGATGAGTTTGAGTGGGAACATTCGGATGATGCGGCGGTGGAGAATATACTTAGTTCTCAGGAACAGAGGCAGAAACAGGCTGCTGCTGCTGCTGCTGCTGCTGCGCCAATGCGACAGCCGAATTTCGGACTTCCCAAGACGCCGTCCCGAGACGCAGTGGAGGCTTCTGCGGCGGGGAAGAGAAAGTTCGATGATATGTTGGAGGGCTCAAAGACGGAGGTCTTTACGCCGACTTCGTTGGCTAGGTCGTTTACGGATCGGGCAGTGTCGTTCTCGTCTTCTGTGCCGCCGCCGTCGTTGGAGTTTTCGAAGACGCCTACGCCGGTGAGGTTTGGGGCTAGTCCTGCTACGGGTGGAGAGAAGGCTGCGTCTGGGCTGATGGCGCAAGCTGTCGAGATCCTGGATAGGAATAAGGTGATGATGTCGGAAAAAGCGAAGAGTGAGTTGATGGATCTCTTGCAGAAGCATGACTTGAAGGTGAAGGGGATTGTCCGGGGACGGGACATTTCCAGGATTGCGTTGAAGAAGAAGGACGATCAGATTAAGGCATTGAATGAGCGAGTGGCAATGCTGGAAAGGAGGTGAACTATGAAGTGGTTGCGATGATACCCTATCAATATGTGGTTTGTATTCTTTCTCCTGCGTCTTCGCGTGATGATCTGATGACGATGTCCATTCTTGCTTAATTAATGTATCGGGGTCTGCTGGCGGATTTCCTACGTAGATTATTTCGTACCTTTAGCTAGATATTATTGAAGAGTTTGACTACCCTTCCTATCTCATATTTCAGCCCTCTTTGACACTATATACCAGTAGAAACATGTGATACCCCATATCAATCTTATCTCCCATCACGTGCCGATAAGCCACGGAGTCACAGCCCAATTCCAAAGTCTAAAAAATGTCGCGATCCTCCCACCAAACGAACAACGAAGATCCCAGCCAGTCCATGCCAGCCTCGCACTTTAATAACGTCGACTAGCACAGACCGCCGAATTCCCGAACCCAAATATCCAACTAAATATACTGCTCATGTCCATGGAAATCGACTCCGAACCCACCCAACCGCTCCGCAGCGACCTCCCCGCCATGTTCCGTCCTCCAGTGAACCGGGCCATGAGAGTCCTGGACCGGTCCTTCTTCAAGAAGACGGTACCGATCTCTGCGGCAGCGATTTTCAAGACATCTGATATTTCCAATGTGCGGAAGGAATTGACCAAGAGTCGGGATATGCTTGTGCTGCCGAGATTGGGCTCCATAAGGGAGATTAAGATCAATGATTTGGTGCATAAGTGTCTTTTGTTGAGGGAGGATATCAAACATGATGGTATGGTCACTGCCTCGGCCTTGGTGATACTGTGGTATCAGGGTTGTGCTGACGGGTCTAGATACTGCGACGTGGTCGCCAACGATTAGTGAGCTTGTGAAGAAGGGAATGGTTGGCGTCAAGCCTTATGATTTGACGTTGGATTACGATTACTGGACTTATGGTGCGTGGGAACAATGCTTCGCTGTATGGGAAAGCAAGGCTAATTGGAGCAGCGGACATCATGTCCTGCATTTTGCCCGAGGACATGCTCGATGAGATCCCTCAGGGATTCACGCAAGTCGGTCATGTTTGTAAGTCCTCTTTATCTTGCACATCTCAGGCTCACGCTGACCAACTAGCGCACCTCAACCTTCGCGAGCAATACCTGCCTTACAAGCACCTGCTTGCCCAGGTTCTGTTGGACAAGAACCCCAACATCAGCACCGTCATCCGCAAGACCGAGGATGTGGGCTCCCACAGCGAATTCCGCACGTTCCCCTTTGAGCTGCTGGCCGGTGAGAACAACCTGAACGTTGTCCAGCACGAGCAACACTGCGAGTTCCGCTTCGACTACTCGCGCGTGTACTGGAACAGCCGTCTCGAGACGGAGCACCGTCGTCTCGTGGACAAGTTCCGCCCCGGCGAGATGGTCTGCGACGTGATGGCAGGTGTCGGGCCTTTCGCAGTGCCCGCAGGCCGCAAGAAGATATTCGTGTGGGCCAACGATCTCAACCCCCACGGCTACGAGGTGATGCTGGACGCCGTCAAGCGCAACAAGGCCGACAAGTTCGTCACCCCCTTCAACAAGGACGGTCGCGAGTTCATCCGCTGGTCTGCCCAGGCCCTCCTGGAATCTCCCCACACAGTGACCATCGAGCCCAAGGTGCGCAGAAGCAAGAAGGCTGCCGCAGAGGAGAAGGGAGAGGCACTCCCTGCCCCGGAGGTGTTCCATCGCCCTAACGTCTTTCATCACTACGTGATGAACCTCCCCGGTAACGCGATCGAGTTCCTCGACGCCTTTGTCGGCGTCTACGCAGGCAAGGAGTCGCTCTTTGCCCCTCACACCTCTCAACCGCTGCCCAAGGTCCATGTGTACTGCTTCTCGGGTCACTCTGCGGACGAACACGATGACCACGTCGATATCTGCCAGCGTATCTCGGAGCGCATCGGACACACCATTACCACGGAGGACCGTGTCGGCGGCAGCGGCAACCAGGAGATTGATCTGGCCATCCACAATGTCAGATTGGTCAGCCCCAACAAGCAGATGTTCTGCGCCAGTTTCCGTCTGCCGAAGGAGGTTGCATTCCGCCAGATCTAACTTGCTATCGAGAAAATTTCTTAAATCATCATCTACGAACGATCTGCTTAATGCATAGCATACAGGCGTTTTGGCTATGGATATAGAGAAAGTGCCGATAAAATGTTGAATTGATACCCTTACACTTATACTACTGTAAATAACTTACATCCCCCTAAAATAAAACACACTAGACAAATAATCATATATCATCCCACTGACCTTCCCACACCTTATTATAAATAAATGGAACCTCCCGTCCCATATATCCCCCACAAGGCGGTCACCCCACTCACCGCCCCCTCATCAAGCTAGTAATCTGCCGGAACAAAACTCAACGCCTCCCCCGATCCCGCACTAACCAACCAACATCACCACCAGCGACGACGACGCGCTACCTCACTTTTCGACGACGAACCACCAGTCAAATCAAATCTACCACCACATTCCCCCAAGCCAACAATCACACACACACACACACACACACACACACACACATATATATATATTTATCTATCAAAATGAGCGTCCAACTCCCCCCCGCCACGCACCGCAAGCGCACCCTCCCACAAGGCGAACTCGAAGCCGCGTCGACGCTGAAGCTCGGCGCGGACCAGAACACGCATACGCTGTCGCTGTCCGAAGCAAGACTTGTTATTAATAAGGTGTTGGAGAATAAGCGGAGGGGTGGGAAGAAGTATGAGGAGCCGGAGTGAGTTATCCTTACTATTGTTGATCTTTTTTTGTGCTTTGGTTACATGAGTCAGAGGGTTAGGGGCTAGGGGCTAATACATGGTTTTTTTGATGATTAGGAACCTTACGAAAACGCTCGATTACCTAGAGGTGTTTGCGCGGTTCAAGGACGAAGAGAATATTAAGGCTGTCGAGCGGTTGTTGAATTCGCATACCGAGTTGGAGATGTTTGAGCGGTCGCAGCTTGGTACGTTTATTTATCCCTCCGGATGTTCTTACTTGGGAAGGGGAGAGGAGTGTTGGGAGGTGTCATGGTCAGCAGCTAATAAACAACAGGAAGTCTGTGCTGCGATAACGCCGAGGAAGCCAAATCGCTCATTCCCAGTCTGCAGCATAAGATCTCGGATGGCGATTTGCAGGAGCTGCTGGATGAGTTGACCAAGTTGCGCAATTTCACGGAGTAGCTTCATCCCTCTGGTTTCTTTTATGCATGTTGTGTTCGTGTACGCTGCTGTACCATATGGCCATTCTATGAGCATGGGGTCTGTTTTCGGGATAGCATGGAGTTTCGGAGTTATGACGCATAGTTAATTTAACTGTCTGTGCAATAAGACAGGAGAGGGAAGAAACAGAAAAAGAAAAAGAAGGGGGCACTGTTAAGAAAAAGGAAAATTGCATTGGCGGTTGCAGGACGATCATGTCGTCATGGGTGGTGGTTGTGCTTTTCTCTCACATTTCCTTCGTTTGGGAGAAGGGACAATATACACAGTAGCTAGTCAGTCACCATCTACTGTGTACTGCATACAGTGTTAGATAGAAGCAGACAGCATGTGAAAGTGAAAACCCATCCATTCATCACCAGACCCGAGTCTAGATGACCAACCTACCAGCAAAGGACTACATAGAGTTTAAACAGAGTGGATAACTTCACCAGCAACAATCAAACCGATGACCATGACCCTGCGAAAAGCGGAAGCTTGCCTGTTTAGTTGGATTCAGTGGTTGACCGGTTCATCCATCCCATTAGTAGTTGGGATGACACGGAAAGGAAACTGGACATGATCAATCAATTTCATCCATGGGCCTGTTGAGAGACTCGACCCGAACTGCTGAAAAAGTCTAATGCAGTATCGGTTGGATAATTGAAACCTCATGAGAGGCCCGAAGGATTGGACTAGATAAAACGCTCTAGTAGTAGATGGTAGATTAGTACTCCATAGTAGTAAGGCAGTGCACGTTGCCGCCGACCTCCTGCTAATCCAAGTAACAGGTTGAATGATGAATAATGGTTGAATGGATGAGAGATGATGTGATCGCCTTCCCCGTTCGGAATAATTGAATAATGGGAATTCCTTTCTCTTTCTTTTCCTACTTTTTCCTTCCCCCGGGAAAGGATGCAGCAGGATGACCTTTACATTAAGTAATGGGAATCCATTTCCAACTTAACTTTTAGTGTGCAAAGGTGTTGGTTTGAGCTGCACGCGAGCCTAATCTGGATGGAGATTTACATTGATTGATTATAGAAACTAGACTAGTACGAGTACCTAAGTACGGACTGACTGACGGACGCTCGGTCGGGCTGATTTCTCCCCGGAGATAACATTAAATCTCGGGTTTGGTGCTTTTTCTTCAATTTCTCCTTACATCATATATTTATGAGCCTACTGGAAAGGCACCTGCAACACCACCACCATGTTATAGGAATCAAAGTAATTAATTAGAATTATCTCATACTCTGTATCAGGTACTTGCTGATGTCACAACCAAATTTAATGGAACACAAAAAAAGCATTTCATCCACCGGCGCTGTGTACTCCGTACCTGAGTCACGAAACCGTCGCGCGGCCGGGAAACCTTAGTCAACGGATACTACGGAGTAGTCTAACTATTTGAGTCGTATACTGGACAAATGGACAAATGTACTACTGCAGCTCAGTCATAACCATTAGATAATGAACAATGACGGTCAGCAGAGATGCCCAAGGGAAAGGCACTTTCCCACCAATCAGTAACCCGGGGATTTTCCCGCCGGCCTGCATCATACTTATTGCTATTTCATTTCTATAGTAAGTACGGAGTAAGTCGTCAAAAAAGCCCACATGGACTGGACTCATGGGGGGGGTGGACTTTACATGCTTTGCTGGGAAAGCTGTGGGGAAAAGCCGTCCAGCTGCAGGGCCGATCCCCGTTGCCGGTATCGCGCTATGCCGATTTCAAGTCTTTTGCAGGGGTTGTGATTGGTAGATGAAGAGCGTTATCGGGATGATGTGATTGGGAGCTGTCTCTGAGTAATCCCTGCTTGGTGAGAGGGTTTGAGCATTTCCCCGGCATGATAGGTCGGGAGAAACGGGCACCAGATCATTTATTCACTAGTATTCGATGACTATGATTCAAAAGGGAAACTGTATGTATGTATGCATAATATGTGCCAACAATGAGACCATATGGCATAAGCAGCAAGGCACTATATATATAACTAGTCCTTCAACTCTCGATTAATTTGCGATCAGTTTGACTACTACTAAGTTACTTACCTGACGGTTGAATCTCCGGCAATTCTCTCAACCCCAAACTTTCCCGGACGAGAAGTTGCAATTCTCAGTACGTAATACCAAGGCCACCTCGGCAGCCAACCGATCGGGGATCCAATCAGGCGGACGAGGCTTATCTGGACGAGGAGGTGCAAGGGCGCAGGAACTTGAGGCGAAAAGTCGCCGGGTGGCCATCCAGCATGCCTGGCCACCTTTCTGTTACGTGTGGAAAACACCCGCCAGTGTTGATCGATCGCTTCATCCGGAGATTCTCTTATTGATCCTGATGACTGTTTTCCCAATTTCCTGTCTGGTTTTACCTCATGCCAATTCCATTACTAGTTATAATCAACTGAATGGACACTGGATGAGATGAAGACCGAGACAAAGAGAGAGAGGGAGAGTAGGGAAAAGAGAACTAAAGGGACTGAACCAACTTTTGTGTCATTGTTCTATGACTTTTATCTACTACTATATATGTTCCTGACTACCTTCCCTTCTTATACACAACACCTTTTATCTACTATCTATTATTACTACTACTACTTCAGTATCACTATCTAATAGGAACTGAAGAAAAGAATATTACTACTACACTACACCACACTACACTACTACCAACCCTACTACTACTACTACTATTATCCAAGCCATTGCAGATCCATGGCCCTGATATGATCAGTGCTTACAAGCAATCAGATCCTTCCCTGCTCTCCGCCGTCATCCTATTCCTGTGACAATAATTTTTTATTATTATCATTCTATTCTTATTACCTACAGCTTTTTATCAGTTCCTTTCAATTCTGGAGTATATCTCCATCTCCCCGAATTTGGGCGGCTCCGGTTCCGCTGCTCTTGTCCACCGCAAGCTTGTACTCCCCGACTTTCTCGTCCCCCCATTCGATCAATTCCCCCCGTTTCATCCCTCCCTTACTTACTACTACTTACTACTGCCTTCCCTATCTACTACTTTACTTCTTACTCTATCTATCAATTCATTCCAATCATTTCAATCAATCAGCATCCGTCGGTCTGCTTACGCCTACTCCGACTGATAAGCTTCTCCCCTGCGGTTCGTACGTGGCTGGCAGGCAACCCGTCCGCTCACTCCGTACTTGCTCTGTTCATTGGTCGGTGCGTTGCGATAGACGGGATCACCGCGCGACACTCAAACCACCCCGTCGTCCTCAAGACTGGTCTGCAGTCAAACCCCAGATATTTCCAATCCCAATTTGGTGAGGGGTCCTGGCTTACGCCCTGGCTACTGCTACTACTCCTCTAGCAGTCTAGCCTTCCTAGCCTCTTTTTCCCTCTCTTGTCTCCTGCCCTCCGTGCTTTCCATTGCGGAGCTTGTACGGCGGAGTCTCCGACGGCCCCGGTTCATTTACGTGACAAGAATCCCCCATTGATTGTTGTCACTATCGCCCATCTCTGATTAAAATTATTGTTTCTGTGACAATTCGTGAGATTTTGGGCCTGCGAGTCTCGCCGCCTATCTACGCATCTCCGGCTTGTCTCCCCGGTTTGCTCCTGCAGTGGCCACTCTTGAGTTGGCGTTGCTTATCGCTCCATCCGGTTTATCTTTCGACCTGTCCATTCAACCCCCCTCTGAATGGCTGCCGTTATCACTCTCCAGTCGTCCTCGACGACGGGGCCAACTGCCCCCTCTGCAGCTGCCTTTCAACAGTCGCCTGCTTCTGACCACCACCACCACCAACTCCTTCGACCCCGGGTCCAGCAGCAGCCCCAACCCCAGCCATCACACGCCCCCCAACCCGGTTCGATATCTACGCCACAGTCGCCGGCTTCATCCATTGGCACCCTTCCCCGTGTGACTGCAGCAGGCCGGGATGCGCCCAGTTGCGACGCCTGTGTGCGCAGAAAGAGCCGGTGTGCTATCAACGAAATGATCAACAAATGCTATTCGTGCGACTTCCACCGCCAGGACTGCACCTTCACCTTGTCCGTGACGAGTCGCCCCGGCACGGCGGATGTCACGTCGAAAAAACGTAAATTGGACGACGCCGATGCCGAAGAAGTGGAATCTCCCAAGAGGTATGATTTCACCGGGGCGTCCTAAAGGCCGATCTCGGACGTCCCTGCCTTGAACCTCCATTCGGAACGCTAACTTGGGTACCCGCTGCCAGGCAATCTACTACTCTTCCCCCAGCCTCCAACAAACCAGACAGCTCCTCCCGCCCTACATTGAACAACCACCACATCCTCACGCCGGCCTTCTGGTTCCAATCCACACAGCATATCGGCCTCACCACTGAACTCGAGCCCGCCCTCCTCGAGTTCTTACCCTTGGACCAGAACAACGAAGGGTGTGTGGCCTCGTCTCGCGTGCGCAAGTTCGGTGACGACGGCACCTTCATGAGGGTGGTCAACACCCGTTCTCACGCGGACTCCCCGCAAACCGCCACGCTCGATGCCATTGAAAGCCTGGTCGCCCCTTACGGCTCCACCTTGGTGGAGAAGTTCTTCGAGCATGTCCATCCTAGCTTTCCCATCCTCATGGAGGATAGCTTCCGTCAGTCCTACCGGGCACGGACCGGGCTGACGCCGTTGCTATTGTCCGCCGTCTATGTGTTGGCGTTGAAGTTCGTTGATGTCGGCTCGGCCTCGCAGTCCGTCCGACGGCCGGATGCCGGCCGGCTGGAGAGCACGGCCCTCAAGCTACTGACCGAGTCTCTGCCCTATGCGTCCATGTCGACTGTGCAAGCCGGCCTGCTGCTCATGCAGCGGTCCAACCTCGCCACGGCGGCTTTGAATGCACAATTGGTGACCGCCGGGTTTGAGCTGGGCCTGCACCAGGACTGCTCTAATTGGCGGATGGAAACGTGGGAGAAGGGTCTTCGGAAACGCTTGGCATGGGCACTATATATGCAGGACAAATGGTCCGCTTTGGTGCATGGCCGTCCATCTCATATTGTGTCTTCCAATTGGATGGTTCAGGACCTGGTGGAACAGGATTTCACCGATGCCTTCTCGGGTACATCCGCCCACGATGATGCACCCGTCGGCCATGGTCCGTTATCCTTCTGCCACATGGTGGCCTTGACGACAATATTGTCCGATATTCTGGATCGTTTCTATACGCTCCAGGCGATCGAGGAATTCAGGACAGCTGGGAACAACCGTACCCGCATGATCTTGGAGCGCGCCAAGCCGGCTCAGATCCGGCTGAAGGAGTGGTTTGGTCGCCTACCCACCCAGCTGAAGATGGACTCGGGCGGAGATATCTTCGAGACGGTCAATGAAGACAACTCCCGCAACGGTGCTTTGCACTTGGCCTATTTCGCCACGGAAATCACTCTCCACCGCTGCATTGTGCGGTCCCTCTCCCAGGACACCGCTGACGCCTACCTCTCCCATATCTGCCGCTCTGCCGCCAAGACTCGCCTTATTTCCGCCATGGACTTTGTCAACCGTCTTCGCCCGATGCATTTGAGGTCATTCTGGCCGGCCGCCGCGCGGACGAACTTTGCCCTCATCGGATCCTTTGGTGTTTTGCTTCGAGTCACCGCTCCCACCAAGGAAGAGTCGGAGTTCTACCGTCTCCGACTGTGCGAATACCGGTGGACGCTGAGTGTGAGCAAGAAGGACGCCGAGTTCCTCGAATTCGCTCTGGAAAGTCTCGACAGCGCGACGAACCTCGATCACTACGTCCCGGAGAAGCCCGGTATCGATGAGCTTATGACCAGCGCCGCTAAGCCTACCATTAATGCTTCCCGCTCGGGCGCGAACGCCCAGCTGGAGGACTCGATGGTCGAGCTGGAACAAACTGGCGAGAGCGGACGCGGGGGTACCTCGTCCGTTATCTCGGGTCTAGCATCTCCTGCAACCTCGATCAGCGATGACAGTGTACAAGACGCCTCGATTCCCCCGCTATAGCCTCTATACCCTCTTTCTCACCCTTCAACAAACATACGGCTGACGCGAAACGCGTCCTTACGCTCACCAACAACCTTTTGATGCCCTTGATGACCACAACTACCGCCTTCGCATCTCTGATTACCGATCTGGCGCATTCTGTGATTATTTATCCGACCTCGATGTTTTCCCGGGGTTTCCATTTCTTGATACCTTGACTGTTATATGTTTGGCTGCACTCGCTTGGAGTTGTGCGTTGTGCTTGATGATGATCGATCACTGTTTTGATTCTTACGAACTAATTCCCCACCCGGTTGGATGACTGGATGAATGACTGCACTTCCGGCATGCATTGTATGTACATATGGGTTTGCTCTTGTTCTTTTATTTCTCTTTATACTCATGATGGATCCGGGACTGGATGGATAGTTATAGACTGGTTTGGCCATGGGATGGATAGATAGCGTGGATACACTTTTTGGACTGTCACGGTCATGGTCATAAAATTGAATGCTTTGATCAATATTGCATGATTGTAAGACACGTAAGTGATTAAGTAGTGCCTTCTTTACCCAGATTTCCATATGCAAAGCAACTACCCAATCGAAGCCATACTAACAGCCAACCGATCTAATAATTATCTACCAACCCACCCAGAAAACATATCACATATAACCTCTCTATTTCTAATATCTATCCAGTACTTACACATAGATTCAATATGACACCACATCCTCCCCTATCCATTTTTCCCTTACTATACTTAAGACAGATTTCCATCAATCACACACTAATCGACACCCTTCATAAATCCTACCCTAGTCAGGTGGATAAGTCTGCGACGGCTGAGTAAACAAAATAAATAACCTGGTCAACAAGATAGTAAATTACGGAGTAACTAGGCATGAAACATCTCATGTCGCAGACACACACCCACCACACCGGGTGGATGTAGCTTGAAAGCTTGAATGCTCCGCTTTCTTCCCTTCATCATCCAGCGGGTTTCATTAACGAATCTGGAATATTTAGTTGAATTGGGTGATTTATGTCCGAGGTTGTGGACTATTATTTACTTTATTAGGTGTGGATATGTTACTTATTAAGGATGGATGTGGGCGCTGGCTGGCTGGCTGGCTAACTACTATGTAGTACTAAGAAGGAAAAATATAGTATTGATTGGGTCGTTTGGAGTGTCTCGATACGGGGGTTATCATACTACTACGCTAGTAGTAGTTAACTATCTCTATCTGGTGCTGGCCATGTTATGTCATATTATGGGTTGATTCCGCCTAAGAAGTATCTGGGATTTGTTTCATCATTCTAGTATAGCGTTCTCTATGTAAGCTGTTGCCAAGCTACTGCTATATCTGACTATAGTAAAATAGGAAATTATATATGATTAGCTAGGTAGCTAGTATATAGCCATTGGGTTGGGGGGTGGGAATAAAATTTATCATAGCTAACATAATGGAATCACTAGCAAGAAATAGGAAAACTTCATTATTCATCATCAAGACCCCAGGAAAAACGAGAAATCGCTGCCCCCACTCCCAAAAGCAAAGTCCTCCAATATCGTAGGATCAACCAAATTAGCCAAGATCTCGGCACGAGTATCTGGCTGTGAATCCTGGTTGAACAGCGAGAAGAAGAAATCGCTGTCTGTGCTGGGTGGAACCATTCCTGTGAGGTTATCCGCCCGGTTTTGCACCGCGGTTGGGTCAGTAGCAGTAGCGGCATCTATGCCGATGTTTGTGGGCGGTGGTGGAGCTAGCATTGATGTATGCGCTGCTGCTGATGGGACGAGGGAAGAACGACGGCGTGCGACACATGCGCGCGCGACTTCGAGAACCTCGCGGATCATTTCGGCACAGCGGCGCGCAACCACGATGTTGTTCATGGATTCGAAGATGTCAAGGCTTTTTTCGACGTCAAGGAGGAGGTCTTCGTCGCGGATGCTGGGGAAGCCGGAGAGGACGAGGTGGAGGAGGATCATGGCTCCGTAGAGAGCGTAGGTTGTGTTGTACCACCTGTCGGTTTTCATGAGTTGGGGTTGTTTTGGAAGGGTAGAAGCGGGGAAGGTTACCAGGTTCGGATGTAAATTCTATGTAGAAAGGATTCGTACTGCATCTGGATGCTGGTTCTTGCGGCGTCGAGGCAGGTGTGTAGGTGTTGGAGTAGATTAGAGGACTCGGTGCTGGATGCTGATGCGGCGAGGAAGGGACGGTGGATTAGGATACGGGTGTTAAAGAATCCTATACTTACTTAGTGAACTGGTACTTGGTTATGGACAGAGCTGTTATGACTTACTTAATCTCAATACTAGCTTCTGTTTAAAGGCCCATTCGGTGTCGTTGAGTGAAGCCGCATCAATATCCAAGAAGTGCGGCAGTGTGGCTTTCCATGCGAGCAGTTTGTTGTCGAGACTCATTGCGATCTGCGACATTTCGCTCATAGATCGCTTCGGTGAGTGGTAGAGAAGATGGGATGCTTCAGACATTATCTGCGCTAGAGCTACCATCGCTGGTATCATGGCGACGTGGTCATCTTCTGCATCAGGGTCGAGTATATTGCCAGGCGTGGCCTATACGGATATCAGAGAATAATACCCAAGTGTTATAGCGGGGTATTGCACTCACCTTCAGCGTTGGTAGTGAAACCTGATAATATTGGAGATCTTTCATGCTGTCTAATCGCCCCGAGGAACAGCACATCTCACTGCATCAAGTCAGTCAAGTTGCATGAGATAAGACGTAAAGAATACTAACATTTCGTGAGAATAGATACACCTATTGAATATTAGCTGCCTGAATACAGATGAAAGAGCAATGCACTCACCACCAAGTCCTTCTGCCCTCCCTCCGCGTATCAGGGGACACAGACGACATGCCCGATGCTAGCCCAATAGCAACTGCAGTCCTCACTGCCATGCCGCTGTACATGAAGCAGCTATGCGGTCGCAGCGCATTTTGACAGAAGACACTCTAGTCACGAATCAGCAACAGAAGTATAAATTCAGGATGAGTACTACCCACCAGCAGCAAAAGAGCCTGCGCACTCTCCAGGCTACAGCTCTCAAACAAGTCACCAAGTGCTTGTTTTGCCTTTCCAAAGTAATAGTCTGCAAAGTCTAATGATGAAGGCTTGCTCGTAGCACCGGGCTTGCCCAGATAGGGAAGGTAATTGCAATAGTGATCAAGCAGAGCTGTCTCGTGCGGGCTAGCGTTTATGGCACCCAGAGCAACCACGGAGAAATAGAGTCCTGAGAACTTCGATATGCCGCGTAGGAATCCTGACCGCCTGGGCAGGACAAAAGCTTCATTCTCACAACGCCGCATAAAGTTTGTCTTGCACAGCATAGGGTGAATGTAGTGCTTGTTACAGAAGTAGCTGCTGATGAACATTTTCTCGATTTCCAGTTGTGCCTCGTCTGAAAGCCTGTCAATTAGAGGTGTCATTTCATACCGGTGATCTGGCTTAGAGTCAGGGTGCTGTCACGGAAGTAGATCTAGAGGCTTAACTTGCCCACATAGCTTTGAGCATTAGCTCTGGTGCCTTCGGCATTCTCTTTCCTTCCCTGTGTATCATCTTCGGCCCCTCCGTTGATCTGCGGTGGGGAGTGGCTAGGATATTTCGGATTATACAGCAGGTTCACTATCGAAAGTTGTGCCTTGTTCGTTTGGGAACTCTCAGACTGCTTGTCTGCTGGAGAGTTGGGGGTCAATTGATCGACAGCTGTTTTGTCCGTTAATGAATTGAGTACCGCATTAGTTTCACCGTTCGTCGGGAACGAAGGCTCGTTCTCGGGGATGGTTAACGGCTTATTCTCCGCATGATTGCGAGCCCGAGCATATAGGTTTCCCAGGAATGCAAGATTCGAGGAATTGCCATAGAACTCCGTGCCATTGGTATGGAGATTGACCCCACTCAAACCGTCTCGGGATGCTGAGTCGCATAGCTCAGGGGTGGCAGCTATAGAATATTCAGATTTAGAAAACACTTGCAGTACCGAAAGGTCTTACCGACTATGCTATCATCATCACGTTTAGGGGTGAACACAGTAGGTGAGCTGGCATTGATATTGCCAATACTTCGCGCAACTCGGGGGGTATAGTGATCCGGAGAGTCACCTTGGTGGAAGCCATTTTGGTTGCTCTGGCTCACATCTGGCCATGGTGATGGGCGGGTCTTCGATCTGCTTGTACGTTAGAACCGATGGACGGATGAGCGATGACCTGGAAGTAAGGGAGGGATCCAGGCAACACAGCATAACGACATACTTTTGGGCTTCTCGGATTCGCGCCTGCCTCTTTGCTGCAGATGAAGCCTCATTGGGGCCTGCAGCGCGATAGAAGCAGTCCAGTGAATGGTCTAAGGATGTGTTGTCAGTATGCGATTCGCCTAGAGGCAGTTTGCCTGAGACTGAGAGCCGGCAAGGCCGGGATTGCATACAAGCACAATAGGAGCACGGTTGGGCTTGGTCGCACTGCCATTAGAACGTCAGTAAGGAGGAATCATTGAGCCACATTGGGAACTGGCTGGTCATCTGCAATAAATACAGACGCGACGAAGCAAAAGGTGGACGACACACCTTAGTCTTGCGCACCCGACAAGTCTCGCAGGCACGTGAAGCACGCGGCGGGCGCCGACGAGAAGCGCGGAGTTTCGCCGTCACTGGCTGAGAGTCGTTGCCGCCGTCCATGCCTTTCTCAACAAGTAAAGGCTTCTTCATCTAAACGCGATCGTATGATTATCGTGGTGTTCATGCCGCTTGCTGTTGTTGTTGGTCAGTTCTCCAGCTGCTTAGCTTGCTCCACACTAACTTGGGTCGGCAGTGGCACGCTAAGATTGGCCTTTAAACCAAAGCCCGGCTGCGATCGCCACCAACCGATGATGCCATGCCACAAATCAACCACCCTTGATTGAACCCAGAAACAACCCGCGTCAGAACCATCCGGGGTTTCGTGGGGTCTGGGGTCATTCTTCAAGACAATGCTCATCTCTCGGAATTGCAGCCTGGGATGATCCACGCCTACGGATATACTGATGATGATGAGGCAGGACTACGCACGCTGGTCAATGCTTAATGCTCCTGCTGCTAGCCCAGAATCATAATTATCAACTCGCCCACCATCAGTGGCCAACTACGACGGTCCCAGTAAAGGCTATAATAGCATGCCGCTGCGTAGCTGTGTTCAAACACTCTGCTTGGTCTGTAGCCCTGCTCGCGGGTCTGCATTTCCAATTTTAACAGGCTTGGATGCTCAATCTAGTTTTTTTCCTTATTAGGGGGACTTTCAGACGTCATGAGAAGTTGCTGTTGCAAGTTGACTGCGTACACTGAATGTATTCGCATCGTTGATTTGCACAACCACTGCATCTTCAGTCCCAACTCACATGCATAGTAGCTCTACTCTAAAAGCCTATGTGCTTTGCCAAATCATTCACCGGCTCGGCTCTAGGAAATATAGTTTACTCCATAGAAGTCAAGCCGTGCTGTGAACACGACGGAATAACGGCATTGTTCGCTATTAACAACCAAGGACCCCTGGCCTTTAGATCCAGTTATCCGAATATTGCACAGAGCAAGGAAGTGTGCGGAATAAGATTTCCAGAACTCCAGGCATCCCAAACAGTCGGCAACCTAAAGACGTGGTTGCCACGAGCTCCGCCAATGCATGTTCGTCCGACGGAAGACCCGCCACACCCATATATCCGCTCCGACGGATCTCTCTACACCTTTACTCCCAGCTGCGATTATCGGCCCGGATGGCAAAAATGACGTTCATTACACAATAATCACAATTGCCCCGCGTTATGAAGTGCGGGGGGAGCATTTGTGGGATCAATTCGGTGTCTAAAATGGCCATAACCGAGAACCATTGGGGGCGGGCGAAGTATAAGAGACGGACTACCACGTCTAGCTGAATCGCTCAAGCAACAGTCTCCCCAACCTATCTCATATCTCTCATCATCATCAGAATTCACAATGCCTGAGCAACAAACAAACGGAGCTACTCCCAAGGTCGCTGGCCTCAGCGAGCGCACCCGCGCCAAATGGGCGTCCGCATCCACACCAGAGGAGATCGCGGCCAACCTGCCTCCCATGCTCGATTTGACCATTGAAAACATCACCGAGAATGTCATGAAGATCAACTCCATGTGTGACAATCCTCGCATGCGCTACCTCATCCTGAAGTTGATCCAAGCCGCCCATGACTACATCCGGGATGTCGGTCTTCAATTCGACGAATGGGAGCAAGCGTGGCAATTCCTGACCAGAGTACGTATCATGCCTTCATCACCACCAAACCAACCGTTAACACAGTTGCCATAGGTCGGCCAAATCTCAACCGACGTCCGTCACGAATTCGTCCTCCTCTCCGACATCCTGGGTATCTCCGCTCTCGTCGACGCCCTCTCCTACCCCACCGTGCCTGGCGCAACCGAGTCCTCCGTGCTCGGCCCCTTCCACGACGAAGAGGCCCACTTATTCGAATACGGAGAGTCCATCACTGCAGATGGAACCCCCGGCGAGCCCACAATCGTGCGGGGCTGGATCAAAGACACGGAAGGCAAAGCCGTGCCCAAGGCCTTGATCGACGTCTGGGAAACCGACGGCAACGGTGTGTACGACCTGGAGTACGACGGATCAGAGGACCCCAACTGCCGCGGAAAGATCTTCTCCGACGAGAGGGGCCACTATCTCTTCTCCTGCGTCAAGCCCGTCGCATACCCCATCTCCAATGACGGTCCCGTCGGAGAGCTCCTGCGGAAGCTGAAGCGTCATTGGTTCCGTCCTGCTCATATGGTGAGTCGTTCTTCAGCAAAGCTCCATCCCCACAAGAAGATACCCGAGCTAACGAATAATGTAATAGCACTTCATGGTCGCTCACCCCGAATACACCAAGCTCATCACGGCCCTGTACTCCCGCGACAGCAACTTCGTGGAGAGCGACACCGTGTTCGGCGTTAAGAAGAGTCTGATTGTGGACTACAACTGGTGCGAGGATCTCGAGCTGGCTAAGCAGCACAACGTGGAGCCTATGGTTAAGACGATTGATGGACGCGAGTCGAAGGGTTTCTGGCTCTTGGAGCGTGACTTTATCCTTGTGAAGAAGAGCCCTCCTCCGCCTCGTAAGACTGAGGATTTGGATTAGATTGTATGATTTACTGTTTAGGAAGATAAGAATATTCTATGTTTGTCTTTAACATTAGATAAAGTATGATAGCGCAATAAATGTTTGAGTGTCTAGTTTGTGATATGATTTTCTTTTCTTTCGTTGCACTGTGGTTATAGTGGGAATAATCTAACTAATCTCATGGGTAATGTCATAACTTGACAGTAATCCTCTTCTATGTCTTGCAACTATATCTTTGATCAAGCCAATCTTCAACTACTAGTTACAAATCAACGCTTTATGGTTATGGTTGAGTTGACACTACTATGTGTCCAACTTGATTTACACATTACAAATACTTCGCGGTCCAGAGGTCTTCATCTAATCCCGAATTGTCGGCACTCGGCACCAAAGACCCTCTCCGGGCCAGAGTGTCTTGTTACCCCATGCCGACTACGCGAATAAAGGAACGTTATACTGCAAACTACCCTTCCCGGGAACGACTGTGGGGATGAAGTAGATCCCATATCCGACGGGTTTGTTTTGGGGGTTCAGAGTTCGATCCGATTGGTTTGTTCGGGGGCAAGCTTCCCCGGATTGAGGTTCACCGCGGAGGTTCATGCCGGTTCGTCCGTCACAATCAATAGGGAGGTAAGCGGTGTATATGATCAAACGTTTCAATCATTCTGAGTGTAGTATGGGCAAAAAGTACCTTATCTATGGAGCAAAGGGCGTCAGAGTGTGTGGTCCCTATATAGATACCACTATCGACTATCTTATCAGCGCGGGTCTCTTCAGTGGCTGGTTATCGGACATCTGTTGCACTTGCACCATCAGGATCCGACCAGAACTACTGTTCCGAGGCACCTCCTCATTAGTGCATAGCCGGACAGCACGCCAAGTCTAGATTATTCCATAAACAATGTGCAGTTCTCGAATGAATTGTCAGACAAATGGCATCCGTTTTCCGACGGATGAAAGTCCGAGCCCTGCACGGACGGATACTCACGGCTCTCGGCGATGACGATTGAGCTGCAGTCCGGTGGCTCCTGCTAATGGGCTGATAGCCCGATACGGCTATTGCATGCTTATCGGGGTGAATAGCGAATTGGGTCGTTTGATGCAGGGTATATAGTGCTGTACGTAAGGGATCATATAGGCTGAAGTGTGACTTGTTGAGAAGTTTCGTTGGTACCACTATATATCCCATGAACCCCGCTGGCACATTGCCGAACTGCTTTATCCATCGTTAAGTTGGCTCGATAATTATTGCTCATATATCACGAAATACCTCATCGTTTATGTATCGTTTATTCTCGCGTTCTTCGTCTCGTCCCCTTCAGAAGCCAATATATACACCCTCACAACGATATAATATACGGCTATATACCAGTATGGACTGGAACCAAGATAACCTGCGGGCCGGGTTCTGCCATGCTCTCTCGAATATGTATAAGAGCGAAGTCCCCCTTTACGGGGACCTGGTGGACCTGGTATGGAAGGCAGATGCAGAGGCAATTAATAGAAGTCGAAAACTAGGAGGCGCAGATGCCATTGATCCCGATGAGGTATTGCCCTCCAGAAACCGTGTTGAGAGACATGGTGCCATCCGCTTGGGAACCGCGCAGGAGCTAGCCACGATCAGGCGTATGTTCGCTGTTATGGGCATGTATCCTGTAGGATATTATGATCTGAGTGTCGCTGGGTTCCCCATGCATGCTACCGCATTTCGACCAAGGACAAGGGAAGCCCTGGCCAAGCATCCGTTCCGAGTGTTCACGACCGTCCTGCGCATGGACTTGTTGACGGAGAGGACACGAGATCTGGCGCAGAGGGCTCTAAAGCAGAGAAACATCTTCACCGACCGCTTGGTGGCTTTGATCAACCACGCTGAGGTACAGGGCCACCTCACCGCTGATGAGTCCAAGGAGTTCATCACCGAAGGGCTAGAAACCTTCCGATGGCACTCCAAGGCCACAGTGACGCTTGAAGAATACAAGATCCTCAAGGAGGAGCACCCATTAATCGCCGACATTGTATCTTTCCCTAGCTGCCACATAAACCACCTTACTCCTCGAACCATTGATATCGACCTTGTTCAAAAGATGATGCAGGACAATGGTATGCCGGCGAAAGAGCGGATTGAAGGACCTCCGCGACGTGATTGTCCCATCTTACTACGCCAGACCAGCTTCAAGGCCCTGGAGGAGACGGTATACTTCCGTGATGCTAATGAGGCATATGTCAAGGGATCCCATACGGCAAGATTTGGCGAAGTTGAGCAGCGTGGTTATGCTCTCACGCGGAAAGGCCGGAAGCTGTATGATGAAATCCTCAGTCAGGTTAACAGAGAAGCGGCAGAGACAGGAGCTGGCCCTGATAAATATGAGGAAATCTTGAGGAAACACTTTGAAGGATTCCCAGATGACCTCCGTGAATTGCAAAAGCAGAATCTGGCGTACTTCTGCTATCGAACAACACCCAAGGGTAAAGAAGGATCTGCATCAGAAAAGGCAAGTCTCAGCCAGTTATTGGAGGATGGCATTCTCGAGTTCGAGCCCATCACATACGAGGACTTTCTTCCCCTATCTGCCGGAGGTATCTTCAACTCGAACCTAGGCAACACATCGCAGTCCAAACGGCTGATCATGGAGGCGGATGCCGACCTGGATGGGTTCCAGCAGATGATGGGAACTCCGACGGTCGATGAAATTAGTCTTTATGAACAGATGCAGAAGGACAGCCTTGAGAGCTGCCGGGTGGAGCTAGGATTGAAAGAGATTGTGGAGTGAAGATCAGCTTTCTATGTTGTGTGTTAAGATATAAGCGTATAATCCTCAAATTTATGCAAGCTATAAACGTCGATAGCATCTCTTGTTGACACAATTCTATTCGTTGTAGATCGTAGGTGATGTTCTTAGAAAAGAATTGATGTTGTCGGAGTACAAGCTCACTCCTTCCCATCCTGGACTGCCCACTTGCCTTCTTCCGTTCACTATCTTTCTTCTTTTCTTTAACTTCCCTTCCTTCCATCTCCCATCCATCGTATTTTAACATGCAGATGCTATTCATTTCATTGCTCTGTATCTTTACATTGTTGCTATCACGCTGCTAGCTCTAGACCACCCTTTGATCATTCCAGTGTCGTCCTGCAACTGATAATCTTTGGGGCCCACCGCTTGTTCTAAAGGCAGTTCAGTCCCCTCTTAGCGCAATCATGATGCTATTGCTTGGGGCCTTGCTGGCCCTGGCAGCTCTGACCGTTGCACACGATGGTCCTGATCTCGATCTCTTTGACTATGACCAGCGTGGACCTCTCTTGGGGACTTGGTTCGGTATACCCGGGCAAAATGCAACGTTCGACTACGTCGTAATAGGGGGAGGCACTGCCGGGTTGACTCTTGCCAGTCGGCTGGTCAAGAGCGGATATCTCAGTGTGGCCGTTGTTGAAGCTGGCAGTTTCTATGAAATTGACAACGGTGACCTCTCTGTAGTCCCAGAATACTCGACCTTCTTTTCCGGACCAGATATAAGCGACTTCCAGCCTTTGGTCGATTGGAATTTCATGACCCAACCCCAGGAGAGCCTAGGCAATCGCACACTTCATTATCCGCGCGGGAAAACGCTAGGAGGCACTTCAGGAAGGAACTACATGTATTATCATCGCCCTACCATAGGCAGTCTGCATAAATGGGCTGAAGAGGTCGGAGACAAGAGCTATGAGTTTCCCAGCATGCTCCCCTACTACAAGAAATCAGTGCATTTCACTCCTCCGGATGAAAAGCTTTTCATCAATTCGACAAACATACAAAACCCAGAAGCTTTCAGCTCAACCGGTGGTCCCCTAGAAGTCTCGTCTGGTAACTTCGTCGACGGCTTTGGAACTTGGTTTCGCAAAGCTCTTATTGCGCTGGGTCTGAAGCAGACTGAATTTAATAGCGGCAATCTTTCGGGCTCTGGTTACATGACCCTAACCATCAATCCTATCAATGCTCACCGATCTTCGTCAGAAACCAGCTTCTTGCAATCGACACTCAACAGTGGCCTAGGCCCTGTGGTGTATCATAAGACGCTTGCGCAGAAGATCCTGTTTGATAATCATAGAGTCGCAACTGGCGTCCAGGTTGAAACGGCTGGGACCTTTGGCATCCCGCCAGTTAATTTCACCCTAAGTGCTCAGAAGGAGGTTATACTGACGGCAGGAGTCATTCAGTCCCCTCACTTACTGATGGTGTCAGGGATTGGTCCACATGACCAGCTTTTCAGGTTCAACATCAGCTGCATCAGTCATCTCCCGGGCGTCGGCCAAAACTTACAAGATCATCCCACAGCCGGAACGACGCACCGAGTGGATGTTCCAACTGTAGCCTCGTTATCTGACGATGACACTCTAGTGAATTCGAATGTCAAGCAATACATTGTGAATGCCACTGGTCCACTGTCCATCCCTGGACCGGGGTATTTTGGATGGGAGAAACTACCCAAGCCCTACCGCTGGCGCCTTTCGAATGAATCTATCCAAGCACTCTCGACCCTGCCAGATGACTGGCCAGAAACCGTGTATACCCCCATTGGTTATCCACAGCCTAAAAATGCGAGTGCCGGTCAAATATATGCCACAATTAGCTTCGTCAACGTTGCACCTTTCTCCCGCGGTAACATATCGCTAGCAGGTCCAAACATGACAACTCCGCCCATCATCAACCCTCAATGGCTGGCAAACGCTACGGACATGGAGATAATGGTGGGCGCTTTCAACCGGAGTCGCCAGATTTGGGCGAAATTGGCCGACCTAGGCGTCGCTGATCCGGTAGAGTTCGCACCGGGAAACAACGTGACGACATATGACCAAATACTTGACTTCATCCGCAGATCTTTGACAACAATCTCACATGGATCTTCAACTTGCAAGATGGGAAGGAAAGAGGACCCAATGGCAGTCGTGGATAGCTCCGCACGGGTGTATGGGGTTCAGAAACTGAGGGTTGTTGATGCGAGCAGTTTTCCGTTCCTACCTCCAGGAGCTCCTCAGTCAACAGTTTATGCTTTTGCAGAGAAAATCGCCGAGGAAATTCTGTACGGGTTGTGATTGGAAATGCTTTAAAGGCGACGACTAGAGCAGATGCGGGGCTGTCTACTATATTATCCTTAGGATAGACGCTATATCAATAACAACCTTTCATTGTTAGTCCATAAGAATCTTTGTGCCGTCGCTCACCCGCCATTTCCTTGCAAATGAAACGAATGTGTGAACTAGTAAAACCAGTGGGTATAGCTTGCTTGGATATTTCTTCCCATCAGATGGTCAGTAACAACGGCTGCTAAAGGTACACCAGGTTTGCTGGCTTCGAGGACACGGAAATACAAGGAGCAAATAAACATTCGAAACCCAATTATACAATAAAATACAATTGCACTCCTCAATGTGCATAACAGAAAAGTCCTATCTGTACATGGTATACCACTCTACGCGGTTCCAACCAATGGATATAACACAGCATAAAATCCATACCCATCTAAACATGGGCCTCTAAGAAGGCTCGGCCCACGTCTTGCTCAAATTTTGCGAGATCTTCAAATCCCTTTCCCTCAAATCTGAGATCTACTCCTTAAGCTCAACATTGGCCGCAGAATCAGCACTCTGCACCACAACCGCACCCTCCTGCAACAACTCCTCCGCCGTCTTAACTTTAACATCCATGACCCGCAGAATGGTATAACGATGTTTGCTCGTCACCTTCTGCACATGACGGCGTCTCCGCTTCGTCTTCTCCGTGATGCGCAAAGGCTCCGACTCAAAACCCATCACCCGGACCCGGCACTCAAACAACCGCTCATCAAGGTACTTCTCGCCGCCCTTGAGCGAGAACTCACGAGAACCGAGCACGGAAGCCCGGTTAAACCGAAGGATATCGCCCGATTTTACCTTGGGCATGAGGAAAGGCAGACGCAGCTGATCACCCTCGGTAAGCAGGTAGGGTCTGTCGTGGAGGTGGGCGGTAATGTAGTGCGGCTTTTGAGAGGTGAGGTAGGGCAGCATGTCGAGGAGGGATTGAGACACTTTCAATGGAGCGTCGAAGGTCGGGGCCACGGGCTGTTTGTTGAGAGGCACATCGGCGCGGGTTTCGGGAATGGTGTTCTGGGGCGTCAGGAAGTGAGGTTGTTCGATGGGGATGGAGGTTTGGGCCCGGGGGGTGGCACTGAGGGGAGCGGAAGGGTGTGATGATGTTGTTGTAGAGTAAGATGTGGTGGTGGCTTGGTGAAGGCAGGCACGGAAGGTGGTGTTGCTGGCGCCGGCGAGGATGGAGGATCGGGCGGCGGTGTGCTCGATGGGCAGGGCAAGTGCCCGTGCCAGTGTGGTTCGAGAGAACATGGTTGTGTGTAGTAGAGACTAAGGGAGGGAGGGAATTGAGGCGATTGTTGACCTTGACCGTGCCGTGCCTGGACTCCGAAGCATCTCGCAGGATGAAATTCCGGACGGAGAGAGATAAAGTGCTCCACGTGACTTATCGGAGTGCCAAGACCCAGTCCCGTTGCCGCCGCATCGAACTTTTTTGTCTTGTCCAAGACACTTCGGGCTCCGCCGTTGTTTGATATCAACTTGTTTTTGACTCGCTTTCTCGCGGTTGATTCATCATGGTATGATTGTGATGTTCCTTGAAATGTGTAGTATCTGGTTTTGCTAACTGATTGTTCCGTGTGCAGCCTCAGAACGAGTTCGTCTCACTTCCCCCACCCACTCCCCCAAAGCTGGGCCCCGACCCGAGTTGTTTTTCCACCGCCGGGGAATCATTATATCGAAGCAACGAACAAAGCATACTGATGATGGGAATAGGTATATCGAACGCTGGCAGAAGCAGCACGGTAAGCGGCTCGACCACGATGAGCGTGTCCGCAAGCGCCAGGCTCGTGAATCGCACAAGCAGTCCAAGGATGCGCAGAACCTGCGCGGCCTGAGGGCCAAGCTGTACCAGCAGCAGCGTCATAAGGAGAAGATCCAGATGCGCAAGCGCATCAAGGAGCAAGAAGAGAAGAACGTCAAGTCTTCCGCTCCCGATGAGCCGTCCAAGACTCCTCTGCCCCAGTATCTGCTTGATCGGTCGCAGGCCACCAACGCCAAGGCCTTGTCCAGCGCTATCAAGGATAAGCGGAATGAGAAGGCTGCTAAGTTCGCTGTGCCTTTGCCTAAGGTTAAGGGTATCAGTGAGGAGGAGATGTTCAAGGTCGTCAACACCGGAAAGAAGACCCACAAGAAGTCCTGGAAGCGCATGATCACCAAGCCTACTTTCGTCGGTAGTGACTTCACCAGACGGCCTGTTAAGTACGAACGGTTCATTCGTCCTATGGGTCTGCGTTACAAGAAGGCCAATGTTACGCAGTATGTTTATACCCTTTCCTTTCAATCTGTTTATTATGGGAGTCGTTCGACTGACGTAATGGCTTTTTTTTTCTTCGCAGCCCCGAACTGGGTGTCACCGTCCAGCTTCCCATCCTCTCCGTCAAGAAGAACCCCCAGAACCCTCTGTATACCCAACTGGGTGTCTTGACCAAGGGTACCATCGTTGAAGTGAACGTTTCCGAACTGGGTCTCGTCACCACCAGCGGCAAGATCGTCTGGGGTAAATGGGCGCAGATCACCAACAACCCTGACATGGATGGCACTGTCAAGTGAGTTTCCTCCTTACATTCTACCTTATAATTATAATACTAATACTATATCACCACAGCGCTGTCCTCCTTGTCTAAATACCTCTTCTCATCCATGATTATGAATCCCGCTCTATTCCTTCATATCATCATACCATATCCCTCCCTATCTCAAAATATGCCCTGGTTGCGTTGGTTTGTGTTCGTCTTCACATAG